GGTGTGATGTTGGGGTGTGTGGTGTTGGGGTGTGTGTGGAGGGTGTGGTGTTGGGTGTGTGTGTGGGTGTGGTGTGTGGTGTTGGGTGTGTGTGTGTGTGTGGTGTTGGGGTGTGTGTGTGTGTGTGTGGAGGGTGTGGTGTGAGTGGTGTTGGAGTGTGTGTGGAGGGTGTGGTGTTGGGGTGTGTGTGTGTGTGGTGTTGGGGGTGTGTGTGTGTGGTGTTGCAGGGGTGTGTGTGTGTGGTGTTGGGGTGTGTGTGTGTGGTGTTGGGGTGTGTGTGTGGTGTTGGTGTGTGTGTGTGGTGTTGGGGTGTGTGTGTGTGTGTGTGTGGGGGGTGTGTGGTGTGAGTGGTGTTGGAGTGTGTGTGGGGTGTGGTGTTGGGGTGTGTGTGTGTGGTGTTGGGGTGTGTGTGTGTGTGGGGTGTGTGTGTGTGGTGTTGGGGTGTGTGGTGGTGTTGAGTGTGTGTGTGGTGTTGGGGGTGTGGTGTGTGTGGTGTTGGGGTGTGTGTGTGTGGTGTTGGTGTGTGTGTGTGGTGTTGGGGTGTGTGTGGAGGTGTGGTGTTGGGTGTGTGTGTGTTGTGTGTGGGGTGTGTGTGGTGTTGGGTGTGTGGAGGGTGTGGTGTTGGGTGTGTGTGTGTGGTGTTGGTGTGTGTGGGTGGTGTTGGGGTGTGTGTGTGTGGTGTTGGGGTGTGTGTGGTGTTGGGGTGTGTGTGGTGGTGTTGGAGTGTGTGTGGAGGGTGTGGTGTTGGGTGTGTGGGTGGTGTTGGGGTGTGTGTGTGTGGTGTTGGGGGGTGTGGTGTGTGTGGTGTTGGGGTGTGTGTGTGTGTGTTGTGGTGTGTGTGGTGTTGGAGTGTGTGTGGAGGTGTGGTGTTGGAGTGTGTGGGAGGGTGTGGTGTTGGGGTGTGTGTGTGTGGTGTGGGGGTGTGGTGTGTGTGTGGTGTTGGGGTGTGTGTGTGTGTGTGGTGTTGGGGTGTGGTGTGTGTGGTTGGGGTGTGGTGTGTGGTGTTGGAGTGTGTGTGTGGTGGTGTTGGGTGTGTGTGGAGGGTTGTGGTGTGTGTGTGGAGGGTGTGGTGTTGGGTGTGTGTGTGGTGTTGGGGGTGTGTGTGTGTGGTGTTGGGGGTGTGGTGTGTGGTGGTGGGGTGTGTGTGTGTGGTGTTGGGTGTGTGGTGTTGGGTCTGTGTGTGTGTGGTGTTGGGGTGTGGTGTGTGTGGTGTTGGGGTGGTGTGTGTGGTGTTGGGGTGTGTGTGTGTGTGTGGTGTTGGGTGTGTGTGTGGTGTTGGGGTGTGTGTGTGTGGTGTTGGGGGGTGTGTGTGTGAGTGTGGTGTTGGAGTGTGTGTGTGTGGTGTTGGGTGTGTGTGGAGGGTGTGGTGTTGGGTGTGTGTGTGTGGTGTTGGGGTGTGTGTGTGGTGTTGGGGGTGTGTGTGTGTGGTGTTGGGGGGTGTGTGTGTGTGTGGTGTTGGGGTGTGTGTGTGTGGTGTTGGGGTGTGTGTGTGTGGTGTTGGGGTGTGTGTGTGTGGTGTTGGGGGGGTGTGTGTGTGGAGGTGTGTGGTGTTGGGTGTGTGTGTGGTGTTGGGTGTGTGTGTGTGTGGTGTTGGGGTGTGTGTGTGGGTGTGGTGTTGGGTGTGTGTGTGGGGTGTGGTGTTGGAGTGTGTGTGTGTGGTGTTGGGGGTGTGTGTGTGTGTGGTGTTGGGGGGTGTGGTGTGTGGTGTTGTTTGGGGTGTGTGTGTGTGGTGTTGGAGTGTGTGTGTGTGTGTGGTGTTGGGTGTGTGTGGAGGGTGTGGGTGTGTGTGTTGTGTGTTGGGGGGTGTGTGTGTGTGGTGTTGGTGTGTGTGGTGTTGGGGGTGTGTGTGTGTGTGGTGTTGGGTGTGTGTGTGTGTGTGGTGTTGGGTGTGTGTGGGGGTGTGGTGTTGGGGTGTGTGTGTGTGGTGTTGGGGTGTGTGTGTGTGGTGTTGGGGGTGTGGTGTGTGGTGTTGGGGTGTGTGTGTGTGGTGTTGGGGTGTGTGTTGGTGTGTGGTGTTGGGTGTGTGTGTGTGTGGTGTTGGGGTGTGTGTGTGTGGTGTTGGGGTGTGTGTGTGTGTGGTGTTGGGGTGTGTGTATGTGTGGTGTTGGGGTGTGTGTGTGTGTGTGGTGTTGGGGTGTGTGTGTGTGTGTGTGGTGTTGGGGTGTGTGTGTGTGTGGTGTTGGGGTGTGTGTGTGTGTGGGTGGGGTGTGTGTGGTGTGTGTGTGTGGTGTGTGTGTGTGTGTGTGGTGTTGGGGGTGTGTGTGGTGTTGGGGTGTGTGTGTGTGTGGTGTTGGTGTGTGTGGTGTTGGTGTGTGTGTGTGGTGTTGGGTGTGTGTGTGTGTGGTTGGGGTGTGTGTGGTGTTGGGTGTGTGTGTGTGTGTGGTGTTGTGTGTGTGTGTGGTGTTGGGGTGTGTGTGTGTGTGGTGTTGGGGTGTGTGTGTGTGTGGTGTTGGGGTGTGTGTGTGGTGTTGGGGTGTGTGTGTGGTGTTGGGGTGTGTGTGTGTGGTGTTGGGGTGTGTGTGTGTGGTGTTGGGGTGTGTGTGTGTGGTGCTGGGGTGTGTGTTGTGTGTGGTGTTGGGGTGTGTGTGTGTGTGGTTGGGGTGTGTGTGTGTGGTGTTGGGGTGTGTGTGTGTGTGGTGTTGTGTGTGTGTGTGGTGGTTGGGGTGTGTGTGTGGTGTGGTGTGTGTGGTGTGTGTGTGTGGTGGTGTGTGTGGTGTGTGTGTGTGTGTGGTGTTGGGTGTGGTGTTGGGGGTGTGTGTGTGGTGTTGGGGTGTGTGTGTGTGTGGTGTTGGGGTGTGTGGTGTTGGGGTGTGTGTGTGGTGTTGGGGTGTGTGTGTGGTGTTGGTGTGTGTGTGGTGTTGGGGTGTGTGTGTGTGGTGTTGGGGTGTGTGTGTGTGGTGTTGGGGTGTGTGTGTGGTGTTGGGGTGTGTGTGTGGTGTGGGGGTGTGTGGTGTTGGGTGTGTGTGTGGTGTGTGTGTGTGTGTGGGGTGTGTGTGGTGTTGGGGTGTGTGTGTGTGGTGTTGGGGTGTGTGTGTGTGGTGTTGTGTGGTGGTGTTGGGGTGGTGTGTGTGTGTGTGTGGTGTTGGGGTGTGTGTGGTGTTGGGTGTGTGTGGTGTTGGGGTGTGTGTGTGTGTTGTGTGTGTGTGGTGTTGGGGTGTGTGTGTGTGTGGTGTTGGTGTGTGTGTGTGGTGTTGGGGTGTGTGTGTGGTGTTGGGTGTGTGTGTGGTGTTAGTGTGTGTGTGTGGTGTTGGGGTGTGTGTGTGTGTGTGGTGTTGGGGTGTGTGTGTGTGTGTGGTGTTGGGGTGTGTGTGTGTGGTGTTGGGGTGTGTGTGTGTGGTGTTGGGGTGTGTGTGTGTGTTGTGTGGTGTTGTGTGTGTGTGTGTGGTGTTGGGGTGTGTGTGTGTGTGTGGTGTTGGGGTGTGTGTGTGTGTGTGTGGGTGTGTGTGTGTGTGTGTGGTGTGTGTGTGTGGTGTTGGGGTGTGTGTGTGTGGTGTTGGGGTGTGTGTGTGGTGTTGTGTGTGTGTGGTGTTAGTGTGTGTGTGTGTGGTGTTGGGGTGTGTGTGTGTGTGTGTGGTGTTGTGTGTGTGTGTGGTGTTGGGTGTGTGTGTGTGGTGTTGGGGTGTGTGGTGTGTGTGTGTGTGTGGTGTTGGGGTGTGTGTGTGTGGTGTTGGGGTGTGTGTGTGTGGTGTTGGGGTGTGTGTGTGTGTGGTGTTGGGTGTGTGTGTGTGTGTGGTGTTGGGTGTGTGTGTGTGGTGTTGGGGTGTGTGTGTGTGTTTGGGGTGTGTGTGTGGTGTTGGGTGTGTGTGTGTGTGTGGTGTGGGGGGTGTGTTGGTGTGGGGGTGTGTGGGTGTGTGTGTGTGGTGTGTGTGGTGTGTGTGTGGTGTGGTGTGTGGGTGTGTTGGTGTGTGGTGTGGTGTTGGGTGTGTGTGTGTGTGTGTGTGGTGTGTGGGTGTGTGTGTGGTGTTGGGGTGTGTGTGTGGTGTTGGGGTGTGTGTGTGGTGTGGGGTGTGTGTGTGTGCGTGTGTGTGTGTGTGTGGTGTTGGGGTGTGTGTGGTGTTGGGGTGTGTGTGTGTGTGGTGTTGGGGTGTGTGTGTGTGGTGTCGGTGTGTGTGTGTGGTGTTGTGTGTGGTGTGGGGTGTGTGTGGTGTTGGGGTGTGTGTGTGTGTGCGTTGGGGTGTGTGTGCGTGGTGTCAGTGTGTGTGTGTGTGTGGTGTTGGGCCACATACAATATACTCCTACACTTATTTGTTCTTATTTTTATGTTTATAGTACTGTACAGTTTGCAGTTTTCTCTTTATTCACAAGACAAATTCTGTGGTTACTTACATATAACACTTTACAGTAAATAACAATCATCTCGGTGACAACCAGACTTATATATCTGATTTTCAACCCAGAGAGTCGTTTCATATTTTTTTAATTGTTGATGTAACTGTGTTTTAATAACCTTGTTGTACACTTAAAGACCTTAGTTGTTGAAGTGCAGTTATAACATAACAATTGATTTTCTTTAAACAGTTCAGATAAGCAGTGTTATCTTCAACATCCCCCCCCCCCCATATATTCGCTTTTTTGGGACTTTTGTATTTTTCGGACTGGGGTCTGCCCCAATTAGTCCAATTTATTGAGGTTCTACTGTACTATCACTTTCTCCCTTTCTTCATTCCCTCTGATCTTCATCTTTTTATTTTATTATTTGTATTTCTTTCTTTTCCTCTATGGTTTTGGCTTTCTCCTCCTCTTCAGATACTTAAGAAATCCCTTTTATTAATGAATTGGTAACGTGAGGAAAGTAATTGTTTGCAGCTGCTCACCTCACGTTACCACATGTTAGGAAAGGCCCCTGAGAGGTGGAACACTAGACCTGTGGACATGCTCTGTTATTCATGTACGTATGCCAGAACTAGGAGGTCCATATATGGTGATTCTTATTCTAGTTATTATTGAAGAGATAAGTTGTTTGATGATGTAAGTAGTAATTGTTGTGTCCAATGCTACAGGTGATATATCTGCTAAGTTGACTGGCTTGAGAGTGGCAAGAGAATGCTTACAACTGTTGGAGGTGGAGCAGGAGGGCACTTTTGGCAGGGTGTATCATGCCCTGTACCAGCCACCAGACCAGTCGCACCCCACTACTGTCACCGTCAAAACTGTCACAGGTGAGTCACACCCCACCACTGTCACCGTCAAGACTGTCACAGGTGAGTCACACCCCACCACTGTCACTGTCAAGCAGTGGCATGAATGGTTGCACTGTTGAGGCATGCAGAACACCCACATATATCAGTTATCAAATCAAATATCAAGTAGGATGTGGTCTTTCTCTAAATAAGGGTTGTCTAGCTTTTATAAACGCCTAATTTCTTATATCGTATCAGTGGCATCTGACAAAGTATCTATTAATCTATTACAAATCATTAAATAATGGGTTCAAAAATATTTAAGGCAAAAGAATATTAAGCTCTCAGTGTGATCTACAGTAATTTAGAAATTAAGTACAGTACTGTAGTTAAAAATGACTAGTCTTCATGCACAATGCTGGCCCTCTGTAAAGTTGTCAATTATTTGTCATATAAACTAATTGGCGACTCTCGAGGCCAGTAAGAAGGGAAGAACAGAACGATAAATGCACATTATTATCTCAGCAGTCAGACCGTGAATGTGAGCCTAGTCCATTTAAATTTCCATAACTCTGTGCTGGCTGCCTCAACTCCTGGATTACAGTGCTTACCCAACTCCCTGAAATATTTTCTTATTAGTGTTAGGGAAGTGAAGTGATGGTTGTTAAAGTAATATTTTTTTCATATTTACAGGGAAAGTGTCTAGTTTTCAAAAGCCATTACTGTATCAGGCTATGCAACCTCCTTACAGTGACAATGTCTCAAAAAAAGTCTCTGAAAGAGGATTTTCAAGACTTACATGAATTGTATCAGTACCATTCTCATCATTATAATTTATAGTGACATAAAACATAGACACGCAAAAAAAAAGTTTTACCATTTGAGAATTGTTTTCTTGTTATTTTCTCAAAAACTATTGATCACATCAGAAATCTAATTCCTGCATTTGAAAGCTCATGAAATTTCACTTCTAGCAGTGCATAGTATATACTTAAACAGTTGGCTCAGACAACTTTGAGCTTGGAGGTTGTGAACGTATTGGTGTGAGTTTTTTCTCTTGTGTTTATTACAAGTGATGAAAAATAGCTATATACTTTTATTATTCTTTTGGGGGCTTATGTTGCAGAACAATCAGTTATGAAGCCAAAGATATGGTTTATGCCAATAAAAACAAGTTTGGGGGGAATTGATATAGCAAAAAAAATATTCTCCGTGCACTGTCTCGCCAGCCCTGGGGGCCTCAGAGATGTGATCCTGGAACTGGAAAACTTAAAACTTATCTCGTGCATGAGAGAGAGGGAGTTAATACTTTATTTTTTATTATCCAGACAAAATAATGCAATTAATGATTTGAGCAGTAGGCAACAGGTTAATTTTGATAGCACCAGCACAACAAAGGGTTAAATCTATAGTTTACTCTATCTGAATAAAAAACAAAGATTTATGAAATTGAGAGATTCCTTGTTTGTAAAGATGTAGTACAGTCAACCCTCGCTTTACGCGGTCCCACATTACGCGTTTCCACGTTTACGCGGTACCCTGCCGAACACGGAATGCTCACTTTCCGCTGTGTGTGTACCCTTGTACGCGGAGAGCGGCGCGAGCAGGGTGCGCACAAGGTCGCCCAGTCATCAAAACATTACCGAGTTCTTCACCCGCCACCCACCACAGCCGGCCCAAGTCAGTGATAGTGATAATGATAGTGAGGATATGGACTTATATGGACTTTGAGGGGTTTGACAAAGAGGCCCTGCAAGCCTCTGTGGTGGATAGTGATACAAGTGATACAGGTGAGGGCCAATAATCTGCCCTCTGCCTCGGAACCAACCCCCCATCCCCGTGTGCCCAGCCATCTTTTCTACTATTGTAAGTGTTAAAAAACCTAATATTATTGATATTTCTCTTAATTATTAATTGTGTCTGCATACCATAATAAAATTAAGAAGTTACTTTTACTACAACGTAGGTATTGTGTCTGAAAAAGTGGAGTTTGGGGGTCGGCCCGGTCTCTATTTCAATTAATCCCATATGTTATGTTGTTCACTTTACGCGTTTCTCACTTTACGCGGGCCGCCGTGGGTTCAATTGACCGCGTAAAGTGAGGGTTCACTGTAATAATAAAATACAGTATAGTCTGGATTTACGCGGTTTTGGTTAACGCGTTTGGTCATTTACGCGGTGCCTTGCCAAAATGAAATGTTTTAATTACGCGGTAAATTTGGTCATTTACGCGGGAAGCGGCGCAGGCAGGGTGCGCACAAGGTCGCCCAGTCATTAAAACATTACCGAGTTCTTCACCCACCACTCGCCACAGCCGGCCCAAGTCAGTGATAGTGAGAATATGGTCATTGAGGGGTTTGACAAAGAGGCCCTGCAAGCCTCTGTGGTGGATAGTGATACAAGTGATACAGGTGAGGGCCAATAATCTGCCCTCTGCCTCGGAACCAACCCCCCATCCCCGTGTGCCCAGCCATCTTTTCTACTAACGTAAGTGTTAAAAAACCTAATATTATTGATATTTCTCTTAATTATTAATTGTGTGTGCATACCATCATAAAATTAAGATGTTATTTTGACTACAAGGTATGTATTTTGTCGGAAAATGTGGAGTTTGGGGGTCGGCCCAGTCTCTATTTCAATTAATCCCATATGTTCTGTTATTTCATTAACGCGTTTCTCGTTTTACACGGACCTCCACGGGTTCAATTGACCACGTAAATCCAGACTGTACTGAAAAACAAGGCAAATTATCACAAACTTACGGCAAATTTGCCGAAGACGTAAATAATGGCTTAGAGGCAGAGGGAAGTTCACAACATCTCACTGTCCTTCATACATAACCCACACCAGATACTTGTCTTACATTATTTAACGACTGTATTACCTTTAAGAAACATTTGTTTATTATCTAAATGAAAAATGACCCAAGAAAGATTAAAGAAATGTTAACAGCCGCTAGTCAGCCATTTGCAATGGTGCTACACCCTGGTGGCAGATCATGGCAACACAAAACATCGCAGGCAAAAATACGAGTTTCACATCCTGTCGGTAATTCTCTTGACCAAAATATAAACAAGCCACACAGCTGCTCTGATCAGAGGCAGAGTTGGGTTAGTTTAATGTTACTATACAGTAATACCTCGCGGTTCTCGTTTGCGCATTTCCACATTTACTCGGTCCCCGGCAGAACTGGAATGCCCAATTTACCCGGTGCATCTACTCATATACGCTGGTGAAGTATAATTTTTTTATTTAGCTCATAAAACTCATACAAATTACTCGGTCAGAATATAATTAACATTGCTGTAATTCGTACAATATGATGATCATTTTAAATACAGCTAGACCCCGACTTACGACTGCTTCGACTTACGACCGCGCAGTTGTGACTTCTAATGACACACGCATTTTCTATACCGAAACGTTTCCAGTTAATGTAGTCTCCATGTATAATTAGAAAATTATGGGGCCCCCATGTGCATTCAGCTGACTACATTAAAGGTAAGTGCTCAGTCACACTGTATCCATTTCTCATTATTTATTACTTTCACTGTACTGTATTTCATTGTAAATTTTTTTTTTTTTTTTTTTTTATCATCTATGTCGGACTTACGACCTGGATTTGGGTCCCTAACCCCGTCGTAAGTCGGGGTCTAGCTGTATAAACATCATGGATTTTGCATTAGACACACAAATTTTAGATCTAATGTAAGAATTTGGTTTACACAGAGCAAATATGTTATCTTTTGTGTAAAATATATGACGTGTATATTCAAAATATTCCTGGTCTTGCAAGGAATCCAGCAATGTCAATTATATTATCCTAACTTCAGTCTGAGGTATTATTTATTACTAAAAAGGTAAATAGTCTGGTTTTCCCACACATTTATCTGGTAGGGAGGGTTGGTGGGGGGTGGGGAGGAAGGAGGGACCAACCGACCATCTGGCACGGTGTGAAGATTATTTTTTTTTATTAACTGAAGGTATTTGTTTTAGCTCATAAACTTCATACAAATTACCCGGCCAGAATATAATTTACATTGCTGGAATTCTTACAATTTGATGATCATTTTGAATATAAACATCATAGATTTTGCATTAGACATACAAATTTTAGATATAATGTTTACTCTGAATAAATATGTTATCTTTTGTGCAAAATATATGACATTTATATTCAAAATATTCCTGGTCTTACAAGGAATCCAGCAATGTCAATTATATTTTCCTAACTTTAGTTTGAGGTATTATTTATTACTAAAAGTTAAAATTAGTTTTTTCACCCAACATTTCTCTGGGGGGTGGGGGGGGAGGGATGGGACCGACCGACCATCTAGCCGGTTGGAAGAGGGGGGGGGAGGCAAGTTGGGGTACTTTGATTGACAGATAGTGTCGTGAAGAATATTTTTTTTTTATTAACTGAGGATATTTGTTTTAGCTCATAAAATTCATACAAATTACCCGGCCAGAATATAATTTACATTGCTGGAATTCTTACAATTTGATGATCATTTTGAATATAAACATCATAGATTTTGCATTAGACATACAAATTTTAGATATAATGTTTACTCTGAGTAAATATGTTATCTTTTGTGCAAAATATATGACATTTATATTCAAAATATTCCTGGTCTTACAAGGAATCCAGCAATGTCAATTACATTATCCTAACTTAAGTGTTTAATTTTCTTTGTTTAAAGGGCTGTACAGGTAGTCATTTTCTGTTAAACTTGTACAGCAAATATAACCATCAGTTTTCCGGCATTTTCGAAAATCCGGCACTCCTCAGCTCCCGAGGTTGCCGGATTTTTGATAGTCAACCTGTATGTATATATGAATGTATGTATGTATATATATATATATATATATATATATATATATATATATATATATATATATATATATATATATATATATATATATATATATATATATATATATATATATATATATATATATATATATATATATATATATATATATATATATATATATATATATACACACACAGTGGTCCTCGGTTAACGAGCGCCTCAGTTAACGAGATTTCGGTTAACGATTTACCTTCCATAAGATTCTTAACTTCGGTTAACGAGTTTTTTACGAGCCGACTTCAACATGTTTTCGCTTGCATTTGGCGGTCCACTAGCTGTAGTATTAGTCCGCCAATACAGTAATCGGTTTTAGGGCTTAAATTCCTTACTATTTTAGTAAATATCAAGAAGTTTATACTATTCAATAATTTTAAAAGTTTAATATTAACTTTTTTAGTAATTTTAACAATTATAATTGTTGAACATAATTGAAGGTAAAGAAACTAGTTTCTGGCGTGCCATCCAGCCTGTTAACACACCATACAGGCGTTAGTGTCTCTCTGTTTTCAGTGGAGGTAACATCTTGCTTGAGACTCTCTTCAACTAAACATTTTTTTTCTGTGTTTTCAAGCAAATTATTGGTCATTTTGAAATATATTTTGCATATTGACAATATATAATGCAGTGCAGTGTTGATTTTAAGAAAATAATCTTGAAATACACCAAGAGAACTAAAATTTTATGGGTGAAATGGTGCCATGAGGTGACTTCTCTTCCACCCCAATGCCTTCTCTTCTTCCTTCTCCTCCACCCCCATTCTAATTCCCATCATCATCATCAAGGAGCCTTTTACATACACACCTCAAAGTAAGTGTACTTTTCTACCTTTTTTGTTGAACTTAGGCAATTTTCGGTGAGCTGGAACCAATTACCCAAAAACCCATTGAAACAATGGTTTCAGTTAACGAGTTTTTCGGTTAACGAGC